CTCTTACAATCTGTCTCACTTTAAAAAGCTGGTTTTCCGGCATCTTCGTGGTGTAGATTAATACAGTATAACCTTTTTTCTATATTTTCAATTTATTTCCGTTCTTTTTTTTTTCGCCCCCCAGACTCCGTTGTGGGTCGTTTGACCTGTGCCCGGGTTGGCTAATTCCCGTAAAAAAAAAAAAAACTCCCTTCCTCGTTTGCTTCAAGTCACTTCGCACGACTTGCTGTGTGTGGCCGGCAGGTAAATTAATTGTCGCAACCGTTGAAAAACAAACATGTTTTCTCTGCCTTAGATCAAAGGTCTGTCCATGTACACACACACACACACACACACATACACACACACAAACATATTCCAAAATACACATTATATCCGGTGAGCAGCCAGGTCCAAGTGTTGTTGCCTCTCAACTCGTTGGTCTGGAGTAGGTCTGTTATGGAAGCTGAATCTTCTCTGCTATAATAAAGTGCGACGTTTATTGCAGTTGGGACAGACTATTTCACAGTTCAACCCAAGTCGTATACACAGTAGGGTGAGGTCCATGGTGCATGTATATAACACATGCACAGTTGGTTTCTTCTCTTTTTCGCATCAGTTATGTGCTGGATAACGTGTTCCATGGTTTTATTCACTTTAATAAAAGTTGGCTACACCCACAAAAAATCCCACTGGACACAAGCCCACCAGATCGTTTACAGAACAAAATACCATCAGAAATTTGAATTTTTTCCGTCTATCAAGTTTTTACCGGACAATTTTCCATCAGTTAGAATCCCTTCACACAACTTACATTTCTTAGAAGGCGATATTTTTCTTTCAAGCAAAAAAGGGAACAAAATTAAACCATTTTTTTAAACGGTAATTAGCTACCCCGTTTATATTAGGTGGCATAAGTAAAGGAAATTTAGGTTAAGTTGGGCTAAGCTAGTGGGGTGGTGTAAGCAAAGGAAGTTTAGTTTAAGTGTTTTTATGTCGATAAAGTGATGGTTGCTGCTCTAGATTTGTCCAGGTGCGTCCACTGATTACTACACCAACCTGTTGCGCCCAGTCACTTGCTTCAACCTTTTGTAGAGAGACTAGACTCGCAGTGGTTCTCAACCTGGGGGCCATGGCCCCCAAGGGAGCCACGGCGAGCTGTTATAAATTGTACGTTTCCAAATAATGTTGGGAATCTGAATTAAACAAAACTTGTATTACTTATTTTGACTTGACAGAAGAGAATTTTCATTCTTTTTTTTCATTTTGTTTAATCATAACGACAATACAATTTTAATATTTACATACTTTGGTGCCATTCCTTTGCAAGTGGTGATAGGGTCCGAATAGGGGGGTTTGGGAGAAAAATGAAGGAGGCCACGAGGATGTTGAAAATTCCTCAAGGGGGGAATGGAGTGAAAAAGGTTGAGAACCACTGCACTAGAGGATATGAAATCACTGTCAGCTGATCAATATATATATATATATATATATATATATATATATACATACTGTATATATAAAGCTATCAGCTGCTTTTGGGAATTGTTGAGAGATATACAATTGCGGGCAAAATTCCCAAGGCACTTTAAGTAGTATGTCATCTGTTCACTTCAGCGTAATTTAAGTAAATGAAAATCAACGTTCATCGGTGATAAACTAATCCCATATACGAGTTATGACCCATAATCAATACTAAGTATTGTGGAATGTCGACGAAATTTTGGTTGCAACTACATAAATAAGTTCATTTAATCACTATTGAGTTAGTGGAAGCAAGACCTGATGCTGGTGAACTTTAGGTGGAGACTCTCACTTCCCTGATATGAAGGTGCACTGGAGCGACTCCACTGTAACAATAAAGGTGAGTGACCCCGACCTCACTCCAGCAACCTTCGTTACCCGTGCTTCCTCTGCAGGAGCACGAGTCAGGACCAGCCATGCGTCAAGTACTTTCATTTGGTCAAGTATTCAGGAGGAACATAACATTTTGTAAGGTCACTTGAACCTCTCTGTCAAGTGATACAATTTCATCGAATGGATCCACATATGTGCTGAGAAAGTAGCTGGTGGGGGGGTTGCGTGGTAATTAATATTTATATATAGTTTAACAATAAGTGATAATTGGGGCTATACCTTATACTCCAGCAAATACTTTTTTGGGTCGAGAATGAGGAGGTGAAAGAAGAGTAATGGTTGAAGGGTATGAGTAGTTTGGAAAATGAAGAAATAAACTCGGAGGTCGTATAGTTGGCGAATTTTGTAATGTGGAAGGAAGGTGTAGTTTGTACAGTGTTACAGTGAATTAACATGAAGCGGTGAAGTAACAAATAGAGCTACTGAGCTGAAATAGAGAAGGGATTCTTGATTTGAATTTCGTCATAATACTGTACTGATCATTAAAATGCCGGTAGAATAATACAAGGGAGGATACTAACGATGGTTCATGTGGAGTGGAAGGCTACAGGATTTTCGAGAGGCGAGTCATTAATGGGACCAAGTCTATCTGGTCCTCCCTATCATAAACTCTAAGGTTTGCTCTTGTTATTACCAGTGTTAAACCCGTTTACATTGTCAAGCACGTCACGAAGCTTGTTTTTTGCCGACTGATGATTCAGTAACACCTCTCATCTTCCTCACCATAAGAAGCTCAGCCAGTGTTGCATCACAGGCTTTTGTTTTACCTTTGTCGAAGTGCTGGTAATATTCTTGTCTTTTAAAGTACTGTTCCTGAAAGCCCCGAGGACCATGTTTCTGACCTGGCCAAAAACCTTGATTGGCCAACTCGTCTACTGGGACTTTGTTGGTAACGAGACAGGAGGGTGTCTTACAGTGTTGGGTGCCGGTGCTGTTATGTGGCGGCTGTGTTGAGTGGAACGGAGCCAACATATAAATAATGAAATAATGAAATATGAGGTATATGGCACTTACAAAATTCATTCCCAGTTATGTACCGCCAAGCCGAGTGGTGTTGTCTCATGAACCAATGTAAATTGTTTGTTGATCGTCAGCATTAACGTGAAATATATTGAAATAAATAAACATCACATAATTATAATGTTGCGATCGTTGTAATGACAGAAGGTCTCCAGGAAAGTTTTCAATAAGAAGATACTTAGATGTAGTGAATATATATTTAAGTTTCTTAAACTAACCCACAAATGGAGAGGAGATATTTAACGGGTCCGTGGCGGGGGGGGTGGTCCGGACCCCTGCTTTTTATCAGAAAATTCCAATACTTTTTCTTTAATACAGTATTGTACTCAGGCATTTTTGTATAGTAAAAAGTATTTACTATTTACTTCAGAATATCTCCTAATATCAAGTGCGCTTGGCTTCAAAATGGCCTCAAAATTCCCATGATATTGGTCAGATTTAAAAAAAAAATCTGGGGGAGGAGCTTACACCCCAGCTGGGAGGGCTCGCTGCGTTTGCTATGTTCCCCCACCCACAACTTCTTGGACCCCCCTTTTTATATTCCTGGATCCACTCCTGCTCGGTGACTGGCGGTTCATAAAAAGCATCCAGTCACTGTATAAAAAGTAACTCCTCAACCTAGTTATATAATGTAACTATCGGTCACTGCCTCCCAGACACCAACTAGTCGAGGGTACAGAGTTTATATATGGCTGAACTCGATTGATAGACAGTAATGTTTCCTCTTCAGCATAAAACATGCAATTATAACTACACGAGAAGAGAGATGCCCTTTAAGAACCCAAATGTTCCAGCGAAAGGCCACTATATTTTCTTGTGTCGGCGGACGAGTTTGAGAGTTTAATGATGAGTAAAAGTGAAAACAACTCAATACCACTCGGTCAAAATTATTATATTGTGAAGATAAATTCCGTGTTGATACATTTTAGTTACCTCGAGAAGTGAACACCAGCCTCAGTAGAATTATTTATCGTATTTTAATTCACTTAAGCTTTAAGTCTTAAGGAATAATCATGCCCTCTCTTTTGTGTACCCGCTTTGATGCCTTGTGGTGATGAGCGGACGCTTGGGCCACGGTTAGGCTAGATTAGGTTCTAACCACACTGGCTCAAACCAAATGTCTGTAGTCCAAGCGTCCTACATATTTGTTGGTGATACAGTAGTAACGCACGTATCTCTCACCAATATGTTAAGGGTTCGAGTCCTGATTGGCCCGGACACACGTGAGAAGGGCGTTAACCAGTGTGACCCTATCAATCATCACAGGTTTCCCTGAGAGAATGTGTAATGGTGAAACACTGTAATATCACACCACAGTAACAGCACTAATGGGTCACTAACTAACATTACTGTGAACCACTGCTCTCGCTTCTTTCTCGTCACCGCAGGTTTTCCCCAGATACTCCATTTTCCCTCTGTACTAATACTGGGCTCATGAAGGGACAAACTCCTCAGGCACAATGGGAGGATTAACAAGCCACTGGTTTCTTTTCCCCGTCAAAAATATAGATTAAAAAAAATAACAGCAGCACATGGTGATAGCGTCACATATTAGTAGCACCACACCTTAACAACAACACTTGAGTTACACAGTCAAACACATCCTCACCACACACACACACACCCTACACACCCACAATACCACCCACACACATATCCACACAGCCGCACACAATCACACCACCCACACACTAAACCACACAACCGCACATCACCGCAATAACACTTTCACACAACACCACTACAACACAACACTACCACGACACACAATATTAAAAACCACACCAAGCACAATCACTCTGAACACCACAATCCCACATCCATATACATCTACATTTATACAAACCACACAAACACACGTAATTATACCACAACGTACAACCAAAGAACCTCTTATTGTACCACACAATTATACCACCCCTTACAACCACACTACTAATACACAACACCACTACATACAACTACTCACCACACAAAAGCACATTAATAATTACATCACCATCAAGAACCACTACACTACATAATATTACCACACCATAACACAAACACATCACGGTACCACACCACAGCACTAAGGTACTCACTTCTTTCATATCTGACGACGATTTGTACTTAAATGAATCCAAGTGAGCTTGATCAGGCCTTTTATATATGACTTGGCGTGACCGCGACCTTTGATAGACTAGCCTAGTGTGAACTTCCTTAAGATGGACCAATAACAACTTGTATCGTGTGCCCCCTCGGATGTTGATTGGTCGTACGGATGACTCGTCTTGGTCGCAACAGGTTATAGGCGGAGCTCTTGTTTATGTGACCTTTAGGGAAAAGCATCTGGATATCTCTAAAAGCACGGTGCGTGTTGATCATCCTCCGTAAAAAGAAAAAATATATATAGTTTTTATACTCGACAGCTAACAACTTCAGGTTAATGATGAAGAAAAACAATGTGGCTTTGATTATTATACTTTTGTTATTTGTGTTAGGAGACGAGGACATTATCTGAAGACTGGATCTCACGAAGATTAGGAATCCTTACTTATTTCACCGGATGATTGAACACCCTAGCGCTCTTAAATGGACCTGAGATATTCTGGTGACGAGTGATCATCTCATCTTGTACAGTAGATACACTATAGAATACAAACAAGTCTTATACTACTAGTTTGCTGTCACTCGGAATCGAGTATGACGATCATCCAGCTATGATAAAATTATATGAGTTATTAAGGATGTCACCATCGTTTGTGAGCTCTGAGGTGACTAGAGAGGCCGACACGGGACCGGCAGGGTCGTCCACAGATGTTGCACGTGTGGAGGGCTACGTATAGTGCGGGAGGGACAGCGACAGCTACTTTCTGGCGTTAGCGCTTGTCTGCCTCGGTATGCAGTCGGGCTAACTCGAAAGTATTGACACCTCGTGCGGTGCTCCTCCAAGCATTACGGTGTGGAGTAATCATCTCCCAGGTGAGGAGGTCGATTTGGCACTTTTCAGGTTTGTCTTAAGACTATCCTTATACCTTTTCAATTGCCCGCCGGCGTTACGTTTATTATGTGTAAGGTGACTGTAAAGTAGCTGCTTTGGCAGTCTACTGTCGTCCATGGCCAGTCCAACGTAGCTGTTCATGGATAATGGTAGCCTCGATGCTCCTACAGTTGGTGACAGCAATAATACTGGCTTTTGTTCTCTTGTCTTCCCAGCCAACTCGGAGGATGGAACGTAGACTACATAAGTCTTATACGTATCACTTTCCGGTAACTAATATTTCTGGACTCGACCCACCATGCACTTTATTTTCTCTTATGAATCTCACTAACCTTTCCGAAAATGGAAAATTATGTTGAACTGTAATATAGGACTATACTTGGAGAAAACAAGTCATTTTCATACAAGACTCCGAAGTGGGGGAAAATACTTATTTTTGGTTAAAAAGGTGTACACGGGGTAAAAAATTCACCTTACAGGTGGGCCCGATGATTTTCCAACTGAACATTTCCGTTGTCTCGCGAGGGTTAGTATAGGCCTGAATGCGAGACATTTCGTACTTAATTTGGTAGGCCGAAATTGGCTATTTCATTGATAATATTGAATTACTTTGTTACAATATGACTGGAGAATGTCAGTATATCTAGATAAGTTAAACTATGTTATATTACATGTTCCACACACCGTGGACTACAGGAACCATGGAAGTGGATCAGCTGCCATACAGGAATACATTATATGTTTGGCAGAATAAGCGGATATAGTAAAGGTATAAGATTATTTTGCAACCGCATTTCGAATCTGTACTGTATTGCTACTCCCCTTTGGGCTAATGCCACATTATGTCATTCTTTATTCGTGTTGGAAAATATACCATGCTGTTCCGAAACATCTGAATAGCTGCACAGTTTCGCATGCCGTCGTAATGGAGCCCAGCCCAACGACGTTTTACCATACGGTCGATAATTCCGGAAAGTCTAGTACTGGGTTTGGGTTTCGTTTCAGAGTGCCGATCACTTGTTTCGAGCACGTGTGGCTGAACCCATACACGCTCAGGGCTACCAATGCGATGAATGCCTCAGGGGCCTTTTTGAAACACTTTGTTTGTAGTGTCAGTTTGTTTCGCGCAGGAATTGTAACGGTAGTTTTTTTAACCGAGTGTACAAGAGTAGTTCTACTGTCAATTTTATGCAATATATAACAATTTTGCTTCAAATGAAAATGCTTTCAGCCTCTGTTTTTAATTCGATTAGTTACACTGTTAAACCTGATACTGTACTGTACACTGTCACGTTCAAACCTTCAATTCAATTCAATTCAATTCACACTTTACAATGAAATAATAATAATGGTTGCCCCTCAAAACCGAGGATGGCCGGCCTTAGGGCCACCTAGGCCTGAATTTGTTTAAGGTGTAGCAGCTGTCGCCAACACAACAGCCACACCCTAAGTTAACGAGCTGTATGACCCAGTGACAAGGAATAGTCCGAGAAGACCGGACAGCTCGCCAACAGCACTGACTAACCATTAACCCGGAACATGATCCGCAAATCGATTAACACCCAGGTCCCCAATTGCTGCTGGGTAAATAGAGAAATGGCGTAAAGAAACTTGCCCATAGTTTCACCTTGCATGGGGATCGAACCCAGGTACACTCGCTTGCGAGGCAAGCATGCTAACCATTACACCTCAGGTCGCCACGCAGACAGCTCAGTTCGATGTCAGATTTCAAATGAGCACGTTCACCGCAGAGGAAGGGCTTCTATCTAGTTATGCTCTGGTATGTGCTCTTGTGCAGTAAAATAAAAAGGTCAAGAAAACTAAATTGAAAAAAGTAATCGAAAACAATGGTCTTTGCAGAGAGACCAATTTTCTCATGCAAATTTACTAGCAGAATTACACCATTCTTTTCATGGACGAAGAAAGGTTTAGTTACCTCTCATCAGTAGTTGCACCTTTTAAGAAAGATACTTGCATGAGGAAAGCAGTACTTCCCATGAGCGCCTGATAACAACTCATAAACTTTTAAGCATCACGTTCATCCGACATGAGGCCCCTTCTTCACAAGACCCCCGTGTTGCACACTTATTTATTGCCTTCATGTACTGTACAACTCTCTTACCTTTGGCTCCCTGTCTTTACCATACTTAATAGCAGGGAGATGATATTCTAATGCTCTACCAATTCATGTGATTTGTTTAAGTACAGAACTTTTAATACATTTGTGGATACTGAAATATCATGTGCAACGGAACCAGTATACTGTACTGTATAATCCTTATTGTGTGAAATTTCCGGGGTGGAGAAAAAACTTGCTTCCTTGCCATTTTATCCGAGTGAAGTTTTAGGTGAGGAAAGACTAGTATATTCCATTTAGTAATAAATTCCTTATCTTTTATGCTAAATGCCATTATGTCATTTAGTTTTGAAATAGATGGCGGGCAATTTTACTTAATGTTTATCACCTTAGGGTGTTCAGTTTCTGAAGCGTCACCAAGCCCATTCTTCTCCCTTGACCTCAACACTGTAGAAATAAAAGTAAATGGGTATATAAAATGAATTTAATTCCACGAAAAATAACAGGGTTAGTCTACCTGATTCACAGATGCAAAATTTTACCTGACAAAAACTAAAGCGAATCCTGATTTTAGCCCAAATCGTTGAAAATGTATTTCAGACGATACACAGTTGTACTTTATTTATACAAGACAGATTTCTATCCAACGTCAGTGTAAACACAACAAGTAGACTGATACACCACTTTTAGTGGAAACGAAAGAATCCTAACTGAAGTTAGAGGGACATAATAGTGATAAAATAATATTTCATCATTATTGTTTGCCTTACTACAAGTCAATCTCTCCTGGAATCAGCACGTCTCCAAACGTAAGGAAAGACAGTTTTGAGAAACTCAACTTTGTTAGTAACTGACACCGGTTTATTCTCGGCGAACGCTGCGTTGGTCACCCGGGTTCATTCGTGTCAGAGGTAGCGAGGTGAACCCTGGCGGGGGAACAGACGAAGGAAGACCAGAGGTGTCCCTTTCTCCACCATTACCAAGACGCCTGTCACTCTAACCGTCCTCTACCCTCCTAGCCCCATTGCAGATGTGCAGAAACACCTGCGAACGGATACAATAAGAAGGTTAGAGTTCATCGTCCAAATAACCCGGTGACATTTTACGGTCTTATATGGTGATTATTTATTGTTTATTAGGGTTTAAGGGTAGGAATAAGCTTTTATATTGATGTGTTATGCTTTCATAACATATATGTTTATTAATATATGCTCTGTACACTTGTTACTGTTTCCATTACTTCAGGTACATACACCTATCACCACCAGTCATTATCCTAAATTTATCCTGGCAGTCACAAGACGAGTCTGAATTGTCTCAACTTAAGATTCATTAACATCTACAAACCAACCCAAACCGTTACAGTCTTTCGTATTCATTATCTCCTTTTTTTCTTATTAGATTGTGGTCAGAAAAACACTTTCCTTTTACATGAAGTGCTGCTTCCCAATTTCCTTACCTTTTATTGACAAAATTAATTTTAGATCAAATGTTCTGCTCTTACAACATATCAACCACCACGCCCTCTCTCTTTCTCCAAAGATGCTCTAGTCGTTGTTCCACTGTTTGTTATTAACATGTTTAAAGCCAAACAATCAAACAGCCTGCGCCTCATCTTTTAGATCTAGTCCCTCGCGATAATGGAAGTCTTCCCCATACGAGTTTCCCTTCCTCGTATAACCTCGTATATCAATATTTCTTCTCATCTGCTGGAGACTAAACGAACATATTAATTATAGAGCATAGTGTTGGTTTAAGCTACTTGTTTCGCTGTGGTCGTAAGTATCTTCCATTACTAATTTCTAAGAATAAAAAGTGACTAGAAAAATATGAGTGGGAATACGTATTACTGCGTCACAGCAGTGGGTGGGCCAAGAAGAATGTTGCGTCACGCCTTTTGCATACAGTGTTCACATGTAGTATATTATACATCATCCTTTCCTTCATATTTTACACTTGTCTACTACATCTTTATTCGATTATTTGCTTTACATTTTTTTTCAGGCAACGTGATATGCCCCCGGCATTGAAGACAAAAGTTATGCTCAGAG